ATGTTTTCATCACTGAATAAACTTTTCTCCAGATTCATTTGGAACAGCAAACGACCCAGACAACGCCTCTCCCTGTTATACTTACCTTATGAGCGTGGAGGGCTTGGAGTGCCCAATATGAAGATGTACTATTGGGCAGCCCAGATAGGTGCAGCTACTTGCTATTTTCCAACTAGGGAGACTCCTTCCTGGGTTAAAATTGAGAATAACAATATAGGACTGCCATTACAATCTTATGTTTACTCAGATACAGCTAAAAGAATAGTGAAAAATACAAAAAACCCTATAGTTAGAAATACGATTTCAATATGGCACCAAGCACATATAGCTTTAAATGAGGAGTCGCAACTATCAGCTTTGTCGCCGATTTGGGGTAATGTTAGGTTTAAACCTGCACGTGCTGATAGAGGCTTTAAAATCTGGGAAAGCAAGGGAATAGGCCAAATACAAGATCTGTACGAGGATGGAATTCTAATGTCCTTTGAACAATTAGCAAATAAATATGATCTACCTAGGAGACATTTTTTAATTTTTTTCAAATTAGAAGTTTCGTTACTAATATACTGGGATCGACTGTACAACCCACGTTATCTACTTTAGAGAATATAGCAGCTAACTATGACCAAAGTAGGGGCCTCCTCTCCAAATTTTACAGTACCCTAATCTGGTATGAACGAAAATAGCAACTCATATTTACAGGCCTGTATATCTGATCTGGAAACAGACATTTCAGCAGAAGAGTGGAACGACTGTTGTGAACGTGCGCAAAAACAAACAATTAACACAAGATTTAGATTATTACAGTACAAGTGGCTGTTTAGAACCTATATCACACCAGTGAAGCTTCATTATTTCAACCCTAATATCCCTGACGATTGTAATAAATGTGGAAAAGAAAAAGGGACACTTTACCATTGTATGTGGCAATGTGAAGAACTTCAAATTTTTTGGAAACAAATCTGTACAATTATTTCAGATTTAATTAAATGTAAGATGCCCCTTGACTGTAAACTTTGCATACTGCACATCTATCCAGACAGCTTTGTGTGTAACAAAAAGAATAAGAAATTGGTTGAATTCTCCTTGTTACAAGCTAAATATGTTATTGCCTTGAAATGGAAGGCCACAGAAAGGCCAGGAGTGAAACAATGGATCAATTCTATGTCCAGTAATATGGCGCTTGAGAAACTAACGTATATGGCCAGAGGAAAACTCGAGGACTTCAAGGACATCTGGCTGCCCTTTTTGCATCTTCTTGACACCTTTGACTTTGAAGAAGTGGAGTTAAGTTGGGGGTGGGAGGGAGGGGATTTTTGGGGTGGGGGGGGGGGTGGTTGTTGTATTTTGTTCTGTTTTAAACTGAAAATCATAATAAACATATTTGGGGGGAAAAAAAGTATGTATGTGTAATAGAAATAAAAATATATTAGAATTAGTGTAACTCACTGTGATCCAAACAATAAATCAGCCATAGCTGATTAGTAAATATGACATGAGATCTGGGAGTTTTTAAGTTTCATTCTTTTATTACATTTTTTTCTTAGATCTGTTTAAAGGTCACCATGGCAGCCTGTGTCTCCAACATCAGCTACACAACGCAGCAAGTGTAAGTTCCAAATACCTGTCTTGACCACTTCATGTATGGTTTTGTACTTTAAACAATTATGACAAACCTGTTATTTTTTCTCCATAGCCATTTGGATCATTGGAGACAGTTACGTGAGGCGTGGTGCCCAGAGAGCTGCAGAGACCCTCAGAGACAACCTTTTAATATTTTACGTTTTTTTTTAATGTGTCGACACTTTGTGCCCTGTTGTTTTATAAAATGTAGTGTAAAAAATAAATGTTTTTGCTCAATTACTGGAATTTCTTTGGTTAAGACTACAAAGTGAGGAATAATCATTTACAAGTTATTTGTACAACAGGCCCATTTTAAATCCCAACAGTTTCTTAGCAGCCAATAGAAATGCGTTCTTTACTAACTTTACTTGGTTTAAAAATCTTACTAAAATAAACAGAGTGCCGTATTGCAAAACCCAATCATACTTGTTATGTAAACATTAGCTTTGTAGATATTTGTGTGCAACAAAAACCAAACTTAAATAATTAGTCATTCTTTATTGAAAAACAACAAAATACAGGTATACAGAAAGTGTGGGATAAACAAGTAAATAGGAGGAAAAATTAATACAACTAGGAAACCAACATAAAAACAGCAACCAGCAGCTGCACCTGTGAAGAAACATTTCTAAGAGTCATCAAGAAAACAGCACTCAGAAAGTTTGGGTCAACAACTGTCTCTCCGGTCTCCGTTCCACCTCCACCGGCTCCCCCCAGGGCTGTGTGCTCTCCCCCCCGCTCTACATCCTCTCCACCGACGACTGCAGATCCACACATCCCAACTGTCACCTGGTGAAATACGCTGATGATACAGTCCTCCTATCACTGCTGTCAGGCTCCTCACAACACCACAGACCTGCTCTTCAGGAGTTTGTAGAGTGGTGTGACAGCTCCAAACTGGTGGTGACCTTCTGCAGGAGGCCGAGGGATCCGGCTGCTTCAGTCACCACCATTATCCATGGGAACCCAGAGGAGGTAGTGGAGGAGTACAAGTATCTGGGAACCACCTTTGACCAATCTCCAATACTTTGTGATGTTACGTTGCCATGTCCTTAACTTCTGATAGTGATGTGCTGGTGAAAGCTAAAAGATGTAAAGTAAAATGAGTCAAATATACTTTAAGTGCTGCATGAAACTGATCTAGCCATGTGATCTGTAAGCTCTTTGAATCACTAAGGAATGTTTTTTTTATTGATTGATTTTTTATTATTTTCAAATTTTCAAGTACACTTCAGGTGTTTTACTATTTTGGATACACTGTCCTCAGGCTCCAGCTTTGTTTTATATTGATTGTATTAAAACAAAGGAAACAATCTGAAGTTGCTTTTAATTTACCGGTCCAGCCCACTTGGGACTAGATGTCCCTCAATGTGGCCCCTGAGCTAAAATGAGTTTGACACCCCTGGTTTAGATCGTATCTCCACAACAGGACATTCTGTGTTAAACTGGGTGATGTTTTTTCTTCTTGGGAGGGGCTCCGCTGGGGGGTCCCGCAGGGGTTGATCCTTGGTCCTCTTTTGTTTGCCATTTATCTGCTACCTCTGGGTCAATCTTTCGTAAACATGGCCTATCATTCCATCTCTATGCTGACGATTGCCAGATTTACTCTCCATTGTGTCAGGAAAAAGGTCACTCTATCCAGTCCTTTGTCTCCTGTGTTAATGAGGTGAAGTCTTGGCTAATGGCCAACTATCTACATCTGAATGAGGGAAAGACAGAGCTCATTGTTTTTCACCCCAACAGCAGGAATGTGGATCGTTATGTTGATCTTGGCCCTCTTTCTCCATACTCAAAACCAGTTGTTACCAGTTTGGGGGTGAAACTTGATGCAGGACTTAAATTTGATGCTCACATCAATTCGGTGATCCGGTCCAGTTTCTTTCACTTGAGATGCCTTGCAAAAATCAAGCATATGCTGTCGAGAGCCCACCTGGAGCGGGTACTGCATGCCTTTATAATTTCTAGGCTTGACTACTGCAACTCTCTCTATGCAGGGTTGTGTCAGTCATCCCTGCGTCGCCTACAGGTTGTGCAGAACAGTGCCGCCAGGTTCCTGACTGGGACCAGGAAACGGGACCACATCAGTCCGGTTCTGGCCTCCCTGCACTGGCTTCCGATTTGCTATCGCTCACAATTCAAAATCCTCGTCTTTGTTTATCATTTCTTCCAGGGTGGTTCTCCCCCCTATCTGGCCACTCTCCTGAACAAACATTCCCCATCACGCGCTCTGCGCTCCTCTGACCAAGGCCTGCTCGCTGTCCCTCGTTGTAGGTGTCGTACCCGTGGGGACCGGGCTTTCTCAGTCCTAGCACCGTTACTCTGGAACCAGTTGCCACCCTCAGTTAGGCTGTCCCCATCTCTGCCAGTCTTTAAGAGTCGCCTAAAAACCCACCTCCTCCGCTTGGCGTTTCCAGAACATGTTTGATTTTTGGCCCTCTTTTATGTTGAATTTATTTCACAGTTTTCATTGGTTCACTCAAACCATCCACTCAATCCAAATGTGTTTCACACATTTGTCCTGTACCAGAATGTTTCATCTATCTTGTAATTTGTATTTTATAATTTGTATTTTGTAATTTGAATTGCTTTTATTGTTGATTTATTCAATATGTTTACCTATAACTGTACCATGTTCAGCGCTTTGGGCTTCCTGACAGGGTTGCGGAAGGCGCTTTATAAACAAAGCTTTGATTGATTGATTGATTGACAACCTCCTGAAATTCTCTGCTAACACAGAGGAGATTCTCAGGAAGTGCCACCAACGGTTATATCTCCTTAGGAAACTCAACTCCTTTGGAGTCAGCTCCTCAGTCATGATGACTTTTTACTGTGCCTTCCTGGAAAGCATCATGACCTTCTCCATCACTTGCTGGTTCTACTCTCTTAGCCTCCAGAACAGGAACAGACTCCAGCACACTACATCAGTGTGTTCCAAAATCGTGGGCCTGCCTGTTAGAACTCTTGCTCAGGTTTTCTATCAACAAGCCCTGAGACAGGCAGCCAAAATCCTCTACAACCCCTCTCACATTCTCCACCCCGCATTTCAATGGCTCCCCTCTGGGCGACGCCTACGCTGCATTTCCTGCAAGACTGAGAGGAGGAGCCACCTTTGTCCCCAAAGCCATTCTGCTCTTTAACTCCAGCAGATAAGACCATCCCCTGATAAACCCTCTCCTTGGGCTCTCCATATATTTAACTTTTATACAGACGACACTTTAGTCACTTTATTCACTTACTCAGTGATTTTTGCATATTTTACTGTTTTATCCATCTTCTTGCTGCTTTATTACTTCCTTATTGCCTATTTATTCAATGTTCCTGGCCTGAATTTGTGCACAAAAATGCAACAAAAAAAAAAGTGATGCTTACTCAGATTCAGAAAAAGAAACAAGTTCAGAGAGCTCTGAGGATGAGGATGTTTGATTCAGAGGGAAGAGATACAGTGGGAAAAAAATAAATCAATGTTGCACTTTCTATATGTTCTTGTGTGTATTGCAGTATGTGTGCGTTTTTCACAACAACAGTGTTAATAAAATGACAAAATCTTCATTCAGTGGCATTCATAATCTCTTTTTTGACTGCAGAAAAAAATGGCTAGTGGAAATCCAAGGTGATGATCATAAAGGTTAATTTTGAACCCTGGTTTTTACAATGAAAGAAAGTTTATATTTTGGATTTGTACTTCGTTCTCACTTGGTGTCGTTCTTATCCTGACCAGCAGGTGGCGGTAACACGTTCATCGTTCTCCAAGCGCCAACCAAAACCAAGACGAAGAAGAAGTAAAGGACTGTTGGCAAACTTAGCTTGTTGTATGAGGTGAATATTGAGTCTCCGGCTTAAACATGTATTCAGGAGAGTCTCTGATGGACTTTGTCAACAAGCAAGTAGCTACTGCTAGAAAACTCATCACGAAGGTTGAAGAAGCCTTGGCCCAGTTCGAGGAAGGGCTCGGTGATCAGCGCAGACTGTCGGATGTGAGCTGGGAACCACAGAGCCGCTCACACGGAGCAGGTAAGAAACACCAGCGGGACTCGTGCAGAGACTGACTGGGACAATAATTATGCCCGGGGCCCTGTCCTGTTATTATTATTTAAGGTGTGTAGAAAGCTGCTTTCTTGTGTAGATCATCTCCAGCAAGCGGACCTCAGTTTTCTGACTGCCTTTTAGCCAGCCGTCTTTCGATTTTTACGGGCGCAACTACAAGAGAAATTACGGTGTCCTCGTTATAGAGTGCCTTTCAAAATAAAAGCGCTCAAAACACATTTCAAAGTTTGTGTAAAATTGTGTCTACGATAAAACTGCGTTTTATGATTTTATCTATTTAAAAATACTTTTAATCAAAATAATGAACACGATATAAACGTGTTTGTGTAAAATTGTGTGCAAGATAAAACCGTGTTTTTTTATGATTTTATCCATTTAAAAATACTTTAAATTAAAAGAATAAACACATTTGTCTACTTTGCAATTCTTATCCCTCCCCTCCCTTTCATCCTGATCTGATGTGGGATTTCAAAAGAAAGTGAAAATTATTGACAATTATCACTAAATTCAATGGTTTCTTTCTCAAAAACTGTCTGATTTCACAACATCATTCCACATCAGTCTTAAAGTACACACCGACTGCTGAATCCTCCCCAACTTTCATATGGATCTGATGTGGCATTTCAAAATAAAGTGCAATCAAATATGACTTTAGAGACAATTTTCACTATATTCAATGGTTAATTCCTCAAAAACTGTCTGATTCCACAACATCATTCCTAGTGTTGTGTTGTTTATCAGTCTTAGAGTACACATCGAGGACTACATTCTCTGCAAATTTTTATTAAGACCTGATGATACATCAGAAATTTTGTGAGGATGTAGTCGTCTATGTGTACTTTAAGGCAGATGTGGAATGATGTTGCAGAATGAAACAGTTTTTGAGAAATTACCATGGAATTAGTAAAAATAGTCATTAATGACTTTTGATTGCACTTTATTTTGTAATGCCACATCAATCAATCAAAGCTTTATTTATAAAGCGCCTGTCGGGAAGCCCAAGGCGCTGAACATGGTACATGAGAAATGTGAAACATGATGAATAAATTGAAAATAAAAGCACAGGGTTTCCCTTACATAGGCGTAGCCGTGGCGGGCCGCCACGGCTGAAATCCCACCGCCACGCCTACAAGATCCCAAGTTTTATTTATTTATTTATTTTGCGCTGTTTCCCAAAGAAGCAGCGGGAACTACTATGTTGTCGCTTGTGATCACAGCTGGCGGGCAGCAAGGAGGAGCAGGCAGGGCAAGGTGAAGTTACAGCATAAGTTACAAAGTTTAAAATTAGAAAGGTAGCAGTGGATATAATGCTTTGTGGTTTACATGATTCAATAGCATTAAGATAAACGAGTGTTGATGATCTTGACAGGGTTTCCTCCAGTGCTTACTAGGCCAGGTTCTCCTCCCCCCACCAGGCTAAGCATCACTTATTCATGTAAAATTTATTTATTTTTTCATGTCTGACTTTAACCGCATCTAATACTGTATTACGGCGTGAGCGCAACGGCGACAACTGAAGATCGATTTGTGAGCAGAGTGAGAGGTCGGGTGTTTTCATCTGAACCCTTAAAACCTCCAGCAGCTACGTTGCACTATTGACGTGTTAGCGCGCGGCGCTAACAACTTAGCGACGTGACATGTCTCGGAGAAAGCGTAAAAACACGTTGGACGCTTCTTCTGAAGCGGGAAAATAACACCTCTTCTTAAGCAGAGCACGACGCCGCCTCGGCCCGTTCACGGCCGAGCCGGACTGAGCTCGATAACATTGACCCAGCACAGCCACTGGGTCGTTGGAGCTGTCCCGTGACTGCCTGATGGAAAACCAGCGGGTTTCATCAGACTCGTAAAGTTTCTTGTTTTTGGTGGGGACCCCTGTATTTTACCGCTGCCTCCTGCAGTCTTCCCCTATTAAAATTTAAAATGATTCTGTAAATTCCGTGTATCAATAGAAAAAATCTCTGCCTCTGCCAGCTGCAGTAAATGTAGTCTTTTTGAAGCGACTCATGCTTTGTTTTTATTAAACGCTACATAAAAATCCTTTCTTGTCATTTGTGTGCTTCTGTGAAGTCTTTGGATGGACGAGTTCAGTTAACCAGATTCAAGACAGGAGAGAGACAAGTAGAGCCACTGGGCCAGCCTGAAAGACTGACAACCCCAGGCACATTCCATTGTCCCTCATCTGTGGCTGGCTGCATTTACAAATGAAAGGCAGCTAACGATCAGTGATTTAGTCATTGTTATCAAACCAAGCAGTTATTTGACAAAGCTCTGGTAGAGCTGGGGGAATCAGAAAATGCTGGGAGTTCTAGTGTTAACACAGAATGTTCTGTTGTGGAGATATGATCTAAACCACTCCAGAACAGACCCTTTGATCCCAACCCATCGTTCCAAGCGATCAAGTAGAATTGCCTGGTCAACTGTGTCAAACGCTGCCGTCAGATCTAACAACAGAACCACCACAGATGTACCCTGATCTAGTGATAGATAGATATCATTTAAGACCCTCAGTAGAGCCGACTCAGTACTATGGCCAGACCTGAACCCTGATTGGGAAATCTCAAACAGATCAGAGTCTGCTAAATGTGAAACCAGCTGCTGATAAATGACTTTCTCAAGCAGTTTCAATGTAAAAGGCAGGGTAGAGATAGGCCTGTAATTTTCGATCACAGAGACATCAGCACCAGGTTTCTTCAGGGTCGGCCGAACAACTGCTGCTTTGAAAGCAGCTGGGACCACACCTGTGCTGAGGCTCCCATTGGTAATCTGACCAAGTGATGGGCCAAGACACGGAAAGGCAGCCTTCCAGAGACGAGGCGGCAGGACCTCAAGTGGAGAGCCAGATGGCTTCTGCCTTGCAACAAGCTTACTCAGCTCAGAATAAGAAACGGTCTTGAGGGAGCTCAGGGTGGGTGGTGATGGAGGAACTGGAACAGGGTCAATAGAGTTACCAGAAATAGCTGCTCTAATGCCTGATACTTTATGAACAAATAATTTGTGAAAATCTTCAGAGTTTCCAGCAACTGTAGTGGACAGGAAGCTGGGCTCCTGATACACCAGAACAGAGTTCAGTGTTTTGTAGAGAATCTTAGGATTCTTAGAGTTTGTTTTGATGATGTCTGCAAAATAGGCAGTTCTAGCAACCCTCACTGCATCCAGATAAGCAACCAGGTCCAGGGTGTGACCCCTGGCATGAGTTGGGGACGATAACCATTGAGTTAAATTGAATGAATCTAGAAAATTCAAAAAACCTTTAGCAAGCACATTGTCAGGACAGCAGATGTTAAAATCACCAAAAACAGGACATAGTCATGTTTTAGGATACAGTCTGCCACAAGATCATATAAATCATTTAGGAAGTTAGAGTCAGTCTTTGGAGGGCGATAAATCAGCACGGAGAGCAGGCGGGGGCAGATGCACAGTTCAAATAGACACAGTTCAAAGGAAGAAAATGACATGGCGGGTGTAAGCTGTTTACAAGGAAAGCTGGATTTTAAAACAACAACCAGCTCACCACCTCTGCCCCGCGATCTAGGGATATTAAAACAGGAGCAGCCAGGTGGTACCAGCTCCAGCAGGGCGCTTGAGTCACCAAACGGGATCCAGGACTCACAGATGCACAGAAAACTCAAATCATGTTTAATAAAAAAAATCCCGAAGAACAAAAGTTTTGTTCAGCACAGACCTGGTATTGACCAGACCAAACCAGGTCTGCGGCGGGGCCGCAGCACCGGGATCGCGCACGGACACCGTCTCCTCCAACTCTGAGCCCGTAACCAAGCGTAGATTCTCCCAGCAAACCCCACTCTGGCGAGGTCCTCGAGCCGATTGGCCATGGCGCGGTGCCAGCTCACCCTCATAGCCAGCCAAGTTCACAAGGCAGGGCGCAGAGTAAACCATCAGACGTCTCGGAACCACCGGGTCACAAGCTGGGCCGAATCGGACCAGCCGCTTCTTCAGGGATCCAGGAAGTCCAGCCCGACGTCTCACGCGCCGGCTACCTTGCTGTCCCCGTCTTCTACGATGCTTCCTTCTCAAGCTGGGGCAGACAGAGGGCCAACACATCACGGCTTGGGGGGAGAGAGCACAGGGGCAGTCCAAACAACAATGCTATCCGTGAGGTTCCCTCACGCAGCGACCGCTACATCAACAGGAGTACAAAGCCTCAGCAGCGCAGCTTGATCAAAAGTCACCAGAGAAGCCACACCATTCAAAAAAAGAATCAGAGACAACAAAAAAACATAAAAACCAATAAAACGCAAGTTTCCATTGCGTAAAGAGGACGAGCAGCTCGCTGCGTGCGCCCGCGCGAGCGCCGTCTGAACTCAACATCAGATCTTTATGAAATTTGGGAAGGATGTATTACTCGATGTGTACTCTAAGACTGAAGTGGATTGATGTTACGGAATTGGACAGTTTTTGTGAAATTAACCATTAAATAGGGTTGTCATGGTACCCGCTATAGCGGTAAACCCCGGTAAAAAAGTTTACAATAAAAATAACCGTCCAGTTTTTAAAAAACTATATTATCTCGGTGGGTTTACCGTGGCCGCGGTTTCGGCGCGATGACCCTTACCAGCCACCGTCGCTTCAGCTGAAGTTCCCGCGGCGCGCACACGCACTTTTTAATTTGCAACGGCACCAAAACTTTGAAGCTGAAATAATGGCCGAAGGAGGCGACGGCAGCGCCCAGGACATCCATCAGCCCTCAAAGAAGACTAAATCGGAAGTATGGGCATATTTGGGATTTCTGAAAAATGCTGAGGGACAGTTAATAGAAGACGGCTATCCCGTTTGCAGAACGAGCAGGAAACAAGTGTCTGCAAAAGGCAGCAACACTTCGAATCTAATGGCACATCTGCGTGACGATCACCCATGTCTCTACAGCCAGTGCAAGGTAAGTTAACATTAGCATTTTAGCTTAAATGCATGACGTGAGGACTTTTGGTTGAGGGAGAATGCAACGAGTC